GAGATCTAGTTGTTTTCGTATTAGATCATCTTTTGTTATTTAGATTCAATCATCATTTGTGAATAACAAGAAGCGTCACCTATAGTCGGTAGACAATACTTTATTTAAGGTAACGAGTAACTTCTCATGTTCCTCTGAGTCATATCTTACGATTAATTCAAAATATTTATCGTTAAAAAGCTCCTGTTCATTCTCTGCTACTGCCTATGTCACACACATTAGCGAAAGAATAACAAAGAACATGATCCACGTGAGTAATATATACTTTCAACCATTCTGCACTGCTTTACTCGTCGCCTTTTTGTCGTTCTCTCCACTATAGAAGCAGCGAAGACACAAAGAAAAATAGGAAGATGTCAACATGCAAAACGTGTGCACGTTGACAACGAGTTTCTTTTTATATTCTCGAACATTTCTTCTGATTGACAACGTTAACTTTTGATCAATTACTTGAGAGAAGTTTTGAGTGTATTTAACACAAAATAGGAAGATAAACCAAGGATATCACGTTGAATTCTGAATGATCATTTAATATAAATTAGATGGCACATGGAAATGGAAATTACTCCATAAATGGTATAAGAGATAAAAATGGTGATTTGGATGCTGATGCACCGAATCCAGTCAATGTCAATCCTCAGTTCATGGGTGATTATCCACAACCAAAATTAAGAACTTCGAAAATTCCTGATATAGAACCATCTGCTGAATCCAATACTGAATCATCTGCAAATCCTCATCCACCTAAACCTCCTGAAACTTCATTAGGACCTTATTTTCAATTTATCTCTACTGATTTAAATAAAATGTTGTGGATAGGTAGTGTATTAATCTGTCGACATATTTCATTCGATCAACCGAAAATCGAATTTATTTCTGATGTAAAAGTCAATTATGAATGGGAAATATTATATGAAAATATTTTTGACTTGCGTGCTTATCGCATCAATCTTTTCATTGAATTACGTCCTGGTGAAGGTAATGATCAAATTATTTGGAAAATTGATTGGGGTAATGAAAAAACCGATGGTTTATTTCTTATCGCTCGTCGTGATCAAAAATGGCGTGGAGGTTTCTTCTCTTGTAATGGATTTGATGCTTATGTTCCGAAACAAGTGGCATCGGATTTGACCTATTCTAATGTTTGGAAACATCTTCTGTCCGTGCATGAAGAAACTCCATTACATTTATTACTGTGGGGAGGTGATCAAAATTATATTGATTTTATTTTTGAAGATGTTCCATTTCTTCGTGCTTGGATCAATATGGAATGGAATCAAAAATGGACGACTGATTTTCGAGATGATCTAAAAGAACAAGTTGAACAATATCATTTTAATACTTATGCACAAAATTGGGATCGTCGTGCCGAAGTGAAAAGAGCTCTAACATCGATTCCTAGTCTAATGATGTGGGATGATCATGATATTTTTGATGGAGCAGGATCTTATCCTCCTTTACTTCATGATAGTCCAGTTATGATGGGATTATTTCATGCAGCACAGAAAATGCGACTTCTTTTTCAACATCATACTACACCAGAGAAAGCTCGACAGCATCATTTATTTGGACATGAAGGATATAATTTTTTCGCTCGTTGTGGTCCACATTTAGCGATCATTGGCGCTGATGGACGAACTGAACGTAACACACAAACTGTTCAACATGAAACGACATGGGATATGATTTTCAATAAACTTGAGAATGATCTTGAAGAGGTCGAACATCTAATCGTTTTATTTCCTGTTCCATTTTCATTTATTCGTGTTCATATTGCTGAATCGATTTTCGAACGTTTAAAAAAACTTCCGAATAAAAGTCGACATGTTCCACTTATCCGAAAAACAAATTCAATCTTCGATTTACCTGAACTTTACGATGATCTTCTTGATGAATGGACTCATGCAGATCATATTGATGAGCGAAATCGTGCTCTTCTTCGTTTTCAAAAAATTGCCGAAGAGAAAAAAGTTCGAATCACTTATTTTAGTGGTGATGTGCATTGTTGTGGTATTAGTCGATTTCAAACGAAAGGATCTCATCCACCATTACCAATCAATGATGCTAAGTTAATGTATCAGATTATTTCATCTGCTATTGTCAATATGCCTCCATCGAAAATGGCCATTCGCGTTGCTCATCATTTCAAATCTAAATGGAATCCAATCGATAATACTGAAGAAGAAGTGATTGATTTTTTTGAAAGAGGACCAGAAAATGGAAGAAAAGTTTTTCATAAAAAGTTTCGTCCTAATCGCAATTGGTGCTATTTCGAACAGTGTTCAAATATCCTGATGTCCGCTGTCACTATTGTTCAAACGCGATGCCTTCATTGCTTTCCATGTAAAGAGAATCTTGCTGTACCAACCAGTTTAGGTCCAACCTCTAATCAAAAAGGTCATGGTAGTCAACAACCTCCAATTCATGACCATTCTAATGGAGAATTGTGTCATCAGATTATTCAAATGGACAAACGACAGATTGGAAGTCATGATTTGAGAGTTCGATTATGGTTAGAGAGCGCTCATAAGCATCAAGATGGGAGACAATTTGTTGGTTATGATCTTCTCATTCCTGATCTCAAATAAATCTTTTTGTTCTCATTTATAAATTTTAATATTTTATAATCGATTCAACGATATATAAAGAGAAAATTTCTAGGTCCGTATAACCTCTTCTGGGACTCTCGACGTTTCTAATTCATCAGGAACAGCATAGTATCCTATGCACGTAAATGGTATAGTGTCACTTTTTGCATTGTGAGAGATGAGACTTGGTGTCATCAAGTTGAGTCTATTGTGACTAGACAAAATCTATAGTGATTCGTCCGGTTATTGCTGTCTTCTCGAATGATGACCATTTTAATGGACTTATGATCACTATTATACACGTAGCTTCAATCTAATGACACAAGTATTGTCTCAAAATCTTCTTCTCACCTCGAAAGATTCCCTCGTAGGTCAATTTGTGTATCTCAAAGTTTTCCTAAATGTCTTTTTTTGGCCGATAATCAATTATTATTTCCAATGTAGCATCTCCATCTGGATTTGCTTATCGCTCAGATGTAATAATGAATAATCGAGTTCTAACTCGTCATCGAGGTAAATCAGTGTCGAAATCAATCCATCCAGTTTCATTTGTTTTTTTTAAAATTCTACAATACTTTACTCTGAAAGAGTTTATCGTCCGAAGTCTCAGATATACATGTTTTTGTTGTTGTTTAGCTTTGATCATCTATTGTAAATGAAAATAAATGCCATCTATGTCTCTTTTGCAATGCTTAACCAGAGATAAGACACAACTTTTCATATCTTCCAAAGTAATTTTTGATGATAAATTCGAAGCATTTATCGTCAAAGGATTCTCGTTGATCCTATTTTTTTTAGCTGCATCATTCGCAAGCGAAAGGACGACGAAAAAAACATGGTCCACGTGAATAACATTCTTTCTCTCTATCACATAAGAAACGGACTCAAAGAACGGGTGTGAGTGTGGATGGGGTGTGGGTGGTGGGTGTGGGTGTGGGGTGTGGATGCGAGTGTGGGTCTTCTCTTAATATATCCACACCCAACTGGTAATAGCTTATCTCAATGTTTGTTGTGTTCTAATAAAAGAGGAATATTATCTCGATCATTTTTTTCATGTGCTAATTGTCAAAAAGTAATGTGAATATAGAAAAATAAAATATATATTTTAAAATAAATCTTATTTTTTATTAGTTAGTACGTGATAATTGTTCAATTCAAACACATTTTAGTCAAAATATTGTATCATTATGTAATATTTGTAGTGAAAATCGTCAAGTTACTACTTTTTTATTTTATCTAAATAATTAATAATCAATTATTTTGTTCTATTCTAGTTATGGAAAAAATCAGCTGCATGGTTTTTTCGTTCTTTACCTAAACCTTCGAATGTTACCTTTGATATTAATTCCTCTTCATCATTTCTATCATCACAATATATTAAAACAAGTTAGTTAACAACTATTTATATAGGGTATATATATATATAATTGTTTATAGGAGATGCTCAATCGATATCTGATCGATCAAGTTCAGATGATGATGATGATTCGATTACAGATCGATTTAATAAAAAATGTTTGTCTCGAAATGGTTTTATTTAAAAAAAAAGAAAAGTATTTTGCTTTAATTTAGTGATATCAAATAATAAAAGTTTAAATCAATTTAAACAATTAAATGATAATCAAGATGAAATAAATAAATGTGACGATGATGATAAAAGAATTTATTCATTTAAAACTAATAAACTAACTTCAAAAGGTAGATAGACATTTATTTCAGTCATTCATCTTTTTTTTTGTTAAAATAGAAATCTTTTTTTTAAAGAAGATTCAATTGATGAATATTTATCAAAATGTGAATTAGCTAAATCATCAAAAGATTCTCATATAAGATTATTACCAATAAATGAAGATTGTGGTTCGAATTTTCTTTTTTTTCATATTTTGTTTCAATAAATATATTTATTTGATATGAAGGACTTGGCAGATTAGATTTTGAAATTGTTTGGAAACAATCTGAATATAAATTAATAATAAGATTATTACGATTAGACAAACTTCGATCAAATAATCAAAATCAATATTCTCATATTTATCTTAAATTAAATCTTCTACCAGCTATTCACAAAGTAAATTTAACTTCATTTAATTTTTTACTTTTTAATTTCATACCATTTAAAAGAAGGTTTATCAGAAAGAATTTTCTTAAAAACAAAAACATTTACTTCGATTTGTTAGCGTTTTTATCAATATAGTATATCAATCTCACTTATTTATGTTATCGTTTCTCGAAATAAATTTATCTAAATAAACTCTTAAATGAATAATTTATATTCAAATTAAATATATGAATGGATAAAGATAAGTTTATATTCGATGATAAATGCATTATTAAATATGATTAGTCAACTGAATTAGAAAGTGGTATGATTGGTAAAAGAATAAATGGTGATATCAATGAAATACTTGTTTATGATGGTGTATCATTAGATGATGTCAATTATAAATCAGTTAAGTAAGATAATATATATTGACATAAAACTAATAACGTTATTTTTTAATTTAAAAAACAAACAAACAAAAAGATTCTCGGTCTATGATAAAGATTCATCTGTTAATCACTTTCTTGGTGAATATCGTTTTAAATTATCAACAATTCAATCTGATCAATATCAGATTTTTCGGTTTATTTACAAAATAAAACTGATGTAAGTATTTATTATATATATAATATTCATTTATTGTTTTAATTCGTTTTATGATTAACTGCTATCCATTTCAAAATCGAAGGCGAGTGATTACGAATCGAATAACTCGGGAACGGAAGCAGCTATGGAAAAATTTCATTGGTCAGTAATGGACCAATAGGGTAAAAGTCTGCTGGACATTTTGAAGATAGCTTTTGGAACGCTTTTTTCGTTGGATTTTGAACTGGAATTAAATTATTCAATAGAAAAAATTGCTCTCTTTCGATCTACATAAAGCCAAGCTCGATAGCTTGCTCTGTTCGGTAGCTATAAGCATTTTCCTGAGATCTCCGAAATCGGCCAAGTGACGTGGAATCACCCTTAAAAGCATTACATTATAGGTAATATGACCACGTTGAATTCAGTGGTGATGTTTGTTTTTTTTATTTCAAAGTACTCTGAGATCACTGTATCAAGATTTTCAATATACGTGTTGTTTAAATCAAATAGCAGCAAAAACTAGATTTACAAAAACTTTTGTATAATGATCTCAGATTACTTTGAAATGAAAAGAAAGCATCATCACTGAATTCAGCGTGGTCATATTACCTATAATGTAACGCTTTTAAGGGTGATTCCGTATCACTTGGTCGATTTCGACGATCTCAGGTAAATGCTTATAGCTACCAATCAAAATCCAACGAAAAAAGCGTTCCAAAAGTTATCTTCAAAATATCTTCTTAATGGTGAAAATCGCAGCTCCATAGTTGCTTCCGTTCCCGAGTTATTCGACTCGCCTTCTATTTTGAAATGGATAGGAGATATAATGAAACATATGTTGGATAAATAGCATTGATTTGTTATTGTAAAAATTTATTAGTATAATTGAAATAAATTTCGATAAAATAATCAGTTAATTAAAATAAAAAATATTTAAATATTTTGAGATATGTTCAATTAAATATTGAAAATTTGAAATAAAATTGTTTTAGTGTGAAAATGATGAAGATATAAATGAACGTGGAAAAATTTTAATTAGTCTTATGTTTTCAAATGAAACATCAAATTTTCATGTCAAAATAAAACGTGCTTGTTATTTATTGCCAATTGATATTGATCGTAAATCAAATCCTTATTATCAATTATGTTTATTTTTCTTTGCTCATTTATCGAACAAATTAAATTTTAAAACAGATATTAAAAAACAAACTTTGAATCCACAATTTAATCAAGAATTTATTTATAAAAATATTCAATTAAAAAAATTAATTAAAAAAACATTACAAATAACTGTTTATGATAAAGATTTGGGGAAAAAAGACAATTTTATTGGTAACTAGATTTTATCTATTTATTAATAATTACCTCGACTTCTTTGTTTATTTTTGTTCAATATAGTAACAAATTAGATCTCAAATATGAGAATTCGAACTCTAATATTGAAGTTTATTTATTAAAAATAAATCATTTTTACTTGAGTAAATAATTGATTATTAAATGTCTTATTTTATTAAATTTGATTAGTGATAGTTTAATTCAACAATTAAATAATACTTTTGTTTTGAAAAGTTAAGAGATAAGAATTGAATGTTTATTTATTTATTTATTTTAAAATAAATAACTAAATAAGATTTCTCTAATACTAGGTGGATTTCGAATAAGTCAATCAGAAAGTAGAAATTATTTGAAACATTGGTTCTTAATGATAAAATGGCCAAATCGATCAATTGATATGTGGCACAAATTAAAAAATGAACATTTTTATTGATTATTAACTAAAGAACATTTTTCAAAGCATATTTATATGATCAATTATTTAATTATCAAATTTTCAATAGAATTTGACAAAAAAAAACAAAATAAATCGCTGTTTCGAATAAGAATTTATCTTCATTGAATAATAATCCGTCTTAACAATAATATATTCCAATAAATGTTCTTTATTATCTTTCTTTTCTCTTTTAACATTACTATTCACTAAAAACAAATTTCTTTATTCTTCTTTAACATATATATCTTTTTCTCCGTTATTGTTTTATTCGACATATTATATCCTAACGTTTATTTATCAATAATATATAGTCTTTTATTTGAGATTTTTACTGTGTGATGAGTTGACCAATACTACAAAGTACATGATAAAATTGTTATTTTTTTAAATATTTTTTGCACTTGCATATTTCATGAACGGATAAAACTAGAGAGCTAAAATTTTGGCCACAATAAGTTCTCATTTCTCTAAAAAATTCAGCTCTCTAGATAGTTCCTACCATTCAGGAGACTTTCATCAAAAACTTCGTTTAGATTAAAATCACGATCTTGAGAGAGTCCGATTCAGAGCAAAGTCAAATTTATAGAAGTCAGTCTCATGTAGATCTAAAGTACCTACTGAGTACTACGGAGTTATGAAAAAAAATTGACGTACGATCTCAAAGAATGGTTTTAGGAGACTTATTGAAAAATCTTCAACAATGAACCCTTTTCTGTAGGAAATTGACCTAAGCTCGCTTAAAAATTATTCAAAGAGTTTTATCATATCGATTTTGTGAATCAATAGTGCATTCATTTAAGCTCATTTTTTTCTCAATACTACAGAGTAGTATCTTGCAAAAAATTTCAATATCTCAAGAACGGAAGAACAATTTTTTTTCAAACGGTTTGCATCAAAATTCTTGATACTCTCACTCCTACAACACATATTAAATTGAGCAACATCGATTGACCTCGATCGAGCAAGTTTACAGGTTTGTTTGGCTATTTTCTTTTTTTTTTTAAATAAATTGAAATAAACTAGACGAATGCTCATCAACAATGAGTACAATGGTTAGCGAACTTCACATCCTTCATTATCAATAAACCTAAATCGAGGTCGTTTCTTGTCAAACAAGTAAAAGTAGTATGTGTTGAAATTATTCAACAACAAGTATCAATAGTACAAATGATTCAATTCTTCATGATAAAACCCATATTAGACTTGTTTTTTATCTTTTATCATATTATACAATAAAAAAAATTTATTAGAAATTTTTTCTAGAAGTCAGGTCATTTTTACAATTCCTATTCTGATTCGAATATGTTTTCTAATGTTAGATAGGTATGTGGCTATTACCCTACTTGCTATTTCTTGATGCTTTAATAAAAATAGTATTTGATTCAATTTTAAATTGGTTCGTTTAAAAATATTTTCTAGGCAAGGCATTGATGCAAAGAGGAACCGACAAGGAGTAAGGCGTGGGTGTGAGAATGTAATTAGGCGTGAGTATTTTCTTCTTCACGTCCACACCCATACTCAAATGATCGTTTAATAAGTGAAAACGTCATAAAAGGAATAAAAGAATAAAATAAAGAAAACTCAATTCAAATGCCTATCTTTCACTTTTATTTCTATTAATGTTTATAAAGAATATCTTTATTAATTTGATCAATCGATGTTAATCCACAACAAGCCATATCATAAACTAATTCACGTTTTAATATATCTAATACTCTTCGAACACTATCTTGTCCGCCGCAAGCCAAACCATATAAAATTGGTCGACCGATCAAAACAGCTCGTGCACCTAATGCTAATGCTTTTAACACATCAGTTCCCCTTCGAATACCAGTATCAACAAATACTAAATAAATAAAGAATCGTTTGGTGATTTTCGTAAGAACAATTCGAAGTTTCACTCCTATATACACTTTTCTCTTTTACATATCAAGTTGATGGTGAAAAAATTTTCTTAAATTTGAATTATATCAACTATGCCAAAATATTTACAACATTTTTTATCTCGGCATAGGTGAATGATAGAATCTTGATCTTTTTTTAAAAAAAGACGCCGCGAAATACTTCACAAACATTGTACAAGCAGCAATCTCTACTGACACGCTCTGATGGTTTTTCTCAGACTCAAAATGTACAACTTACATGATAGTACTACTTCCCATCGTGTCGAGCATAATAAAAATGTTTGGAAGATTTTTTTTTAAATTATTTTGCGTATGTCTAGGCAAAAGAAAACGATAACATCTTGCTTTTTTTTCGCGATGAACCGCCGAAAGCTCTATAAAAGCTATATGAACAAGTCTTTAGTGCGAAACAAAAAAATCTTCCATACATTTTCATTACGTACAACATGGTGAAAAGTAGCACTATTATGTAGATTATACATTTGTCGTATGAGAAAAACCATTAGAACATATCAGTATTGATTTGTTAATATAAGTTTTGTAGAGCTTCTCATGGTGCATCTTTAAAAAAAATAAAAGATCAAGATTTTATTATTTTTCTGTGCAAAGATATTCGCAAAATAAACTATTTTGGTATGTTCGGTATATCGTTTATTTGTTGTTAGTGATGATGAAGTAGTAAATTTTAATTTTGCAGCCCTTTTTGATGTATAGAAATACCATCGTTTATCGATTTGCGATTCGATTTTTGTCATAAGACTTTTATCTAATGAGTTTGATACTTCAATAATAATCCCAGCCTTGCACGTCAAAACATTACACATATAATATTATTTTCTTATTATCTCTGTTTAAACAAATACTTTATATAAGATTATTTAATATAATTGTAATTAATGACTTTAGTTTGAGTAAAAGGATGTAAAAGCAATGTGTTTTTGTTGGTTGTTATACCTTTGAGACACTGCGATAGTTCTCTTTTTCTTTGAATTCTTTTATTGGTTCAAAATATTGCTAACAGCCAAATATTAAAAAAAAACAAAAATCAACTCCTGAAATGAGGAGATTTTCGGTCAGGAGTGTCTTGGTCAAATTAGAAGATTTAGCAAGCTTGAGCTACTCTAACAATATAGAGAGTTTAACCAAATCAACAGCTTTCTAAAAAGAAAGCAGATAGATAACTTTTCTCATCCTAACTATGTCGAGACGTTTTAAAAAACTTTATTCTGCCTAAGATTTGATATCTTAAGAAAACATTTTAAAAACCAGTTAGAGTTTTTTCAATTGTCATTAAAACAAACTTACCTTCTGCACATCCATCAACAGCATTGACGACATCTTCTAGACATTCAATAGCTGGTGGTGCTGTATCAATTAGTCGACCACCATGGTTACTAAAACCAGTAATAGCAAAAGATATATTCAGTTAACTGATTATATACAAAGTAGATCTGACAATAATTCCATTTGCTCCATATTTAATTGCTAATTCTGCATCAATTGGTGAGAGTATACCTTTACAAATAATTGGTAATTGTGTCAATTTTCTTAACCATTCAATATTTGCCCATGTTACTGAACCAGTACCAAAACGTTGCTTAACAATTATGCCAGGTGTATTCAAATTTGGTATTGACATATTCTTCATTAATTCTGGATCAATAGTCTTTGATGCTTCTTCAAATAATGGTAATACAAAATCTCGAATACGTTCATGTGGTTGATCACATGTAATGACAATTGCTCGATATCCTTTTTTATCAGCTTGTGGAACTATTTTTCTACAGGTATTGTTAAATAAATATGTAAAAACTTTGGACCTAAGATTATTAAGTACATTGAAGAGAAAATGAGATAGAAAAGAAAAAAAAGGATATACCGAGTGTTTGTAGAACTTTTTCTTCTGGCATATTTGAAAACGTCCAATTGTAAGTAAAAATACATTGAGTTTCAGTTGCAGCACGAGCTGTGGCAACTTCACCATCAACATGAGCAAGACAATGACAAGCAGATGTAGCAATTAGAATTGGTGATTCATATATCGACCTATAATAAATGTTGACAAATGCATTTTGAGTTCATAGTGACGAAGCAAAAACTAGAAAAAATCTGTCTCTATGGGAGTATCGCAGCTTTTTATATTTCAATAATTTCTCACCCAAATAAAGTTGTTTTTAATGAAATTTCACTAACATCCATCAAAACTCTTGGCATAATTCTTAATTGTTTATCAAAATAATGTCAACATGCTTGATATGTATGTCCTTGACCAGTTTTATAGTCAAAATAATAAAAACGATGTGACATCATGGATTTCTTAGCTAATTCTTCGAAATCAGATAATGTTTTACATTTTAAATATTCATTTTTCTATATCAATAATGAAAATTAATGAATAATCAAAAAAATAAATATACTCGTTTTTCATCTTGTTTTTTTCTTTTTCGTTGTTGAAAATAATTTAGAAGAATTACAATACTTATCAACGTTGTACCAAAGCATAAAATATACAATTGACTGCCTGAAAAATTAAAAGTTAAATTTCTAATTATATTGATAAGCATGCTTACTCTTCATTGATTAAAAAAATGCTCTATGTCACTTCAAAAAATATCGTTATTTCAATGTGGAAATTTTCAAGTAGGATAAAAAACGGGAAAAAGAATATGTATAAGATTATATAGAAATTTTTGAAGTTCGATTTCTTAATAATAGATGAATATATTTGCCAATAAATTAAATTTATTTTACTCTTATAAGAGAACTTAGATAATCTTTTTAATTTGTATCTGTGAATTTTGAATTTGAATATTTTCATCTTTAGTAAAAACAGATTATTTTGTGTTGATAAGCATTACGAAGAATGAAAAAAAAAACAAACGAATAGATAAGATGTCTTTGAAGCATGTTAGCACATGATGTTACACAAAAAAAAATTGTATTTCTAATGAATACCTCAAAGATCATAGAAAAGAAAGAAATGACTCATCATAGTGCCTATTTCAAGACGATACAATGGCGAATCTAGAATTTTGGAAGGGTGGGAGCACTTTTCCGAAGGACGTGCGGACATAAAGCAGCGGACAAAAGTTAAAATTCAACGTATTTTAGATTTTTTTCTATAATGTTAAGCATCTAACTCAAATCTAGATAGTGATTTTAATAGCCAATGGGGGTTTCTATCTCAAATATTCAAAGGTGGCCTATGATGACAAGGTTTCTAAAAACCTGGACACGGCCTTTTTCAGGTCAAAGAAGACTTTATTGGAGCTGTTTTTAAACAATACCACTGGGTGTGAGTGAGTGAGGTGCGGAGGTGTGAGATACGGGTATGGTTGTGGGTATGGGTTATTTATATCATAGCTACCCTACCCTCCACACCCTCACATCAAAAAAAGCTTTGTGGTCAAATTTTTGACGGCATTCAAAAGGCACGTTGTTAGCTCTATTTATAAATCGCTATACTCATGTACTTTGTAAAAGAATCCCTTTTCTGAAAAACCCGAACAGGATTTCCATAGGTTATATGGAACAAGATGAAGAATTAGCGGAAAGAGTAGTAGAAATTCAAAATGCACTATATCCGAAAATTGAATTTTGCGTTAGGTTTATGTGATTGATTTCATTTTATTAGGGTGTAGGTGTGAGTGAGTGAGCGGGTGTGGATAGCTATACAAGAATTACCCACATTTCACACCCACAGCCACCATATGATGCCTTATATTACTTTCCAGGAAAGTCGATAGACTTTCCGCACCAAATAAGTTTCTGGAAAAACAAATTGCCTTTCCGCACTAGAAACATTACCGGAAACACAAAATGAATTTCCGAAAAATACACTTTCACTTTCCCAAAATAAAAAACTCGACCCAAGAAAAACCGACTTCCGAAAACACAAAGATCATACCACGGAAACGCAGAATGAGGTTTCCAAAAGCATTGTCGACTGTCGATGTGGATGCCGGTGCGGGTGCGCCAAGGTGTGGGTGACTCAAAATGACTCTCACGCGTCTGTTAAATTGCGCATCCGACAAAACGACTCACGTGCCTTTCCCAGATGTGAGTGCTACGAAAGGACTGATTGCGGAAGAACAATTCACGAAACGATAGGCCACGAAACGACTCGCCGAGAAAGGACTGAGAACAATACGACACACGTTATATCGCAGCTGCTGCGGGTGCCGCCAAAGGACTGGCCGCAAAAGAACTGAGAACAATAGGACACATATCACATCGCACTTGCTGTGGGTGTCGCGAAAGGAGTGGCCAGGAAATGATTGGTCGTGAAAGTATTGGGAACAATAGAATACACGTTACCTCAGGGGCTCTGTGGGTTTCATGATTGGAGTACTTGGTAAGCGGTCTACAAGGTTGCAGCTGATCTGTGTATGGGGAGAATGATGAGACGGTTTACAACAGTTGGAAAGGGCACCTGAGCATGTGTCAAGGGGGAAACATCGTACTTTAGTACTTTTGTACTTTAATGTACTTTATTGTACTTTAAAGTACTTTAATGTACTTCACTGTACTTTAAAGTACTTTAATGTACTTCACTGTACTTTAATGTACTTCAAAGTACTTTAAAGTACTTTAAAGTACTTTACCGTACTTCAAAGTACTTCATTGTACTTTAAAGTACTTTAAAGTACTTCATTGTACTTCATTGTACTTTAATGTACTTTAACGTACTTCATGTATTTTAAAGTGCTTTATTATACATACGAGTAGGAAGTTTCAGTTCTCTAAAACTTAAACTACCTGATAACTGGTTACGCAGAAACGGAAATTGGGAGACTTTGACCTTTCGAGTAGAAGGATATTTCAGAGAAATAACGCTTTTCTTTAAGGGCTGAAGAAAGTAAATCGGGGTCGGGGAATCCGAATCTGCGATCGATTTCTCAAAATTTCGAAGTGGATTTTTGAGCTAAGAAACGGCTTTTTTCAGAAAATAACGGTTTTGTGTAAAGGTTGACGAAAGTAAATCTGGGCCGGGGAATCGGTATCCGTCATTAGTTTCTCAAAACGCCGAAGTGAATTTTTGGGTCAAGGAAGGGATATCTCAGGAAAATAAAGATTTCCTATAAAGGTTGACGAAAGAAAATCGGGGTCGAGGAATACGAATCTTCAATCGGTTTCTCAAAATTCGAAAGTGTATTTTTGGGTTAAGGAGCGGGTATTTTCGGGAAATAACAAGTTTCTATAAATATTGACGAAAAGTATTGGATTGGGGCATTTTAAGTTTACAAAGTATGGATGTTAACTTTGGTGGAAATCCGTGATTGTATCGGATTGGACCACTTGCATCTGCTAGAAGTTAAGATGACGAAGAAGAAGAGTGTGAGAAGATCTCATACTAGCTTATCGCTTTCCCAAAAAGTTTTTAATTCTCCTGTAGATTTCTGACGTTTCGTTACGGACAACCATCTTTTAAGTACAAGAAGATTTTGCGATTGAAAGTACCTTTCGTTTGAAAGCTTGTTATTTTGCACATAGCTGAGTAGGGTTTGCGTTGAATCCTGGAAATTGTTTTCATGAATGCTGGGTCTTCTTCGTGAAAGCTTGGACGATCAAATGTAGAATGGAGAGTAACCTGTTCAGAACTGGTTTGAATTCGCGTACTAGTTAGCCATGGCCTTCAATTCTGAACAAACGCCTTGGAAACAAGAATGCAATATGCAACGAAGCCGTTGGAATGACTTGAATTTTGTTGAGAAAAGTAGTATAATAAAGATCTTGCACGAAAAAGGTCTATTTAAGAACTTTCCGTAGGCGTGGTATTATTTCCAATAGTAAGAGACAAGTAGTTTGTGGCCTATTTTCAGTGTTCAGTGAAAGTTTGTTAAGAAGATTAAACTCGCAAAGACTATATGCTACATAGTTTTGTTGGACTCAGTAACACATGATACTGAAGAAAGATAGAGAAAGATATATACATGAATAAAATTCGGTCAAAGAGTGTATCTTATAACAAATAGATCTTTTTTAATGTGAACGCTGAGAACAAATAATTTTTCATATAACTTCAGAATATCTATCATCTTCAATATGATAGTTTTTGTTCCAACATTTCTATCTTTGCCAGCACTTATTAGCTCATTAAACATTTCAACAAAATTACATCCTGCAAAAAGACATATCGCATCCCGCCTTGCGTTTTCAGCAAGAGCTATGGTTAAAGGATAAAAAGATCTGTTACATGTATTGAAAGGGACTCCTAAGGACAGTCCAGAACGATAAGCAATTACAAGAGGTTGACAGGAACTGTGGGCAGTCATTAGCTAGGACCAGAAATCACAAAAACTAACAAAGATTATCTAGGACTCTAAGGTATACCAGTTGACTATCAGGGATTACTACGGCTTATGCAGAACTGCTGGAGTTTCCACGGAAGTAAGAGAAGCTATTAGTAATCCCAAAGCGCCAGCAATATCAACTATTTTCAATAACACGAATGCCCATCGATCATAACACTCATCCCAGTCCGTGGCAGGATTTGAGACAATCTACCAAATCTGTTCATAAAAATGATAAAAATCGAAGTATTTTATGACTCTTTTGTCTGAGTTCCTTCAAAAATGAATCATGTGTTGCGGCCAGTAAATCATGCCTCACAGATAGCATTAGAAACTGCCAAAATAAAATGAACACAAGGAAATCCCGAATCACATTGTAGTCGTAGCCTTACACTGTATCTTTGAACTTTCAACCTTCCATTATGAAGCTCTTATTGATCTCGGTGAACCACACGTACTCATAGAACTTTAATGTGCTGTGAAGCTTTAGTAACATATAAAGCTTTCCAAACCAAAAAAAACATCCATCATTGGATGAAATGATGAAAGGTGCGAGTCTATGCTACGTGTAACTGTACTATTTATAAATTTGAGCGGTCAAATTGTGAATCTCGTAAATACAATCACAAGAGTCTGAATCCGTGTACAGACCCACATCAATACACTCTAAGCCAAAAGCACAACTTCAGCCATAGTACTCTTTCACAGCTTAAACTGTCTGATTCCACTAACTTCCAGCATACAAATATATACTTGCTGTTCCGCAAATAAGTTTCATGCAAAGAGATTTCTGGAATTCGAATATACTATCCATGTCAACGAAGCGTATCGCTAATGAGCCTTCCACTCTGAAAGTATTAATAAAGTGTCTCACACTGAAACCACTATTTTAAAGAAGTAACGCGAGTAACAACCTATAGACTCACATCATTACTAGAGAATACATTAAAATTAAGCCCAGCAGCAAGACTTATCTTTCACAACAGGTAATACGGCACCGTATCATAGATACTCATCTTTCCAGAACATCCCTTTCTTCATCTAAAAAAAAATTCCCAATTTCGAAAAATCGATTGCAGATTTGAACTCCTCGACCCCGCTTTACTTTCGTCAACCTTTACAGGAAATCGTTATTTCCCTTAAATAACCCTTCCTTGACCCAAAAATTCACTTAGGTATTTTGAGAAACTAATGACAGATTCGGATTCTCCGACCTCAATTTCCTTTCGTCAACCTTTATAGAATATCGTTTTTTTCTCGAAATACTCTTTCCTTAGCCCAAAG